TTCCTGATCCATGAACCTAACCCAACATAAAATGGGCCTAGCCCTTCATACAATGGGCCTATCCCAACATACCATGCAAGAGTCACAAAGACAACTACAATAACATATCCTAATGGGTCGACATTGTTGCCTTCGACCCACGGGTACAGTAAGGAGACTCACCTTAATCCGAGATAAACCGAGACACACGCGCTGCTGCTATTGGAAACCTCACACTGGACAATATCAAATATCCTAATCAATAATTAAGGTCATTTCCCAAAATCCAAGGTCCAATCCGTATTCTATACTTTCAATGGGTAAAAGACCATTTTACCTTTCTCATGTCTGATCCAATAACCTACGACCCAAACTCCAAAAGATCCAAGGCCCAAAATAATACCTCGCGAGTATGCCCTGCGTACCCAACTCGTACGCCCTGCATACAGACCACTGGAGCATAAGGTACACACATGACATTGTTAAAAACCTCGTTTCCGTACGAAAATTTACTCATGATAATATTGTATCCGTTGAATTTGACCCTTATGGTTTATCTGTGAAGGATTACAAGAGTGGGAAACTCCTGACGAGGCACAATAGCACTGGGGATTGTTACCCAATCAACGTTCCTGCTCTCACTCCAAGTTTATCTTTTTTTTGTTTGTTCTAATTCATCGTTTTGGCATAATAGACTTGGACATCCGGATCATTATGTAATGGATTTTTTTAGTTCTAATAAACTTATCTCTTGCAATAAACTTGATCATTCTTTTGTGTGTTCTTCATGCCAACTCGCTAAACACAAACGTTTCCCATTCACAGACTCTATCTACCACTCTTACATCCTTTGACCTTGTCCATGCTGACTTATGGACCTCTCCCTTGCCAAGAAAAAGTGGTTACAAATACTATCTTCTCATTATTGATGACCACACAAACTATACATGGGTATTTCCCTTAAAATTTAAATCTGAAACTTATGACAATTCCAAACACTTCCACAAATTGATACAAACTCAATTCCACAAGCCCATCAAAACCTTTCAATGTGAAAAAGGAGGAGAATTTAACAACCACCACTTCCATCAATTCGCCACAACCACCGACCTTCATATCCGCTTCTCTTGTCCACACACCTCCTAACAAAATGGGAAAGCCGAACACATGATTCGTCGCGTCAACGAACTCATGCTCCATCTCCTCACTCATGCTTCCCTCCCTCCAATATTTTGGGTTGATGGACTCCATATAACCACTTTCCTTCACAATATCTTACCTACAAAACTACTTAACTTCCGCACTCTACATCAAACACCCTATGTATGACCACCTACGGGTCTTCAGTTGTGTGTGATACCCCAACCTTTCTGCCACTCGACCACACAAACTCACCCCACTATCCACCACATGTTTCTTTCTCAGTTACCCAACCAAATACCGTGGTTACCGATACCTTGACTTATCCACTGGTAAAATCATTCTTTCTCGTCATGTCATGTTTGACGAAACAACATTCCCTTATGCCACTATCACATCAAACGCGCCACCAAATTATTCCTTCTTAGACACCGACCCCTCACCCCTCTTATTTTAAACTCCTCAACCCTCTCCTCGACCGCAACATTCCCCTATATCCGAACGATCTCCCGAGACTCTAACAACAACTCCTCCATCTAAAACACCCCCCCTTGGATCCCACATCTTAGACGAATCCATCACCACCCTTAACAATACTGCATCCCTCATCACATATTCCAAAAGATCAACCTCACCCACCAAAACCCCCTCCTCCACCACCAACCCACCCCATGACCACTCGCTCCCGAGCAGGCATCACTAAACCAAAAACCCCATTTAATCTTCACACCACCTTCAACGACCCAAAAATTTCAACCCTACCCAAACCCTATAAAATGGCAATTTCTGATCCTAACTGGCACTCATCTATGACCAATTAATACAAGTCCTTAATAAAAAATCACACATGGGATCTAGTGCCTTGACCACACGATGCTCACGTTATACGATGTATGTGGTTGTTTCGGCACAAATTTCATGCCGATGGGACACTTGAAAGATACAAAGCACACTTAGTAATTAATGGTAAATGCCAACAAGTAGGTGTGGAATGTGACGAGACTTTTAGTCCAGTGGTTAAACCTACAACGATACAGACCGTTCTTAGCCTTGCTGTGTCACGATCATGACCTATTCACCAGTTGGATGTAAGGAACGCTTTCTTAATGGGGATTTAAATGAAACCATATACATGTTCCAACCGCCTGGGTTGTCGATGCCAAAAACCCATCACAGGTATGTCGCCTACTAAAATCCCTGTATGGACTCAAACATGCCCCTCAATCCTGGTACCAAAGGTTTGCAACATTCATTCAAACATGCGACTTTAAAAGCACCAACAACGACTGTTCTCTTTTTGTCTACAAGCATGGAAACCAAATAGCAAGGTTGTAGAACTCGCTACTCGGTACCTGCTCGGCCGACTGGGGAGTAGCGAGTACTCGGATTCGGTAATTCATGTAGAAATATTTTTAGGAAAATTATATATGTCAAAATCATAAGTTAAAATCATAATTTGATTGAAATATATAACAAAATTAGATACATGTGAATACATAAAAACTGAAATACACACAATTGTCTCACTTCGTGAATAATTACTAAAAGTTTAAGATATATATGTAGTAATAATCACATGTGTGTGTTAAATAATAAATCATTAAGTGTATTATACATATTAATCTTGAAATTCTTGATTTTTTTCTCTTTTTATGACAATTTTGACCCTTTGACCGATTTTGACCGAGTTGGCCGAGTTTGACCGAGTAGGCCCGAGTAATACCGAGGTAGGCCCGAGTTAGTGAGATGTTGACCGATTTTTGACCGAGTTTGACCGATTTTTGATCGAGTTTGACTTAATCTGAGTTTTTTTGCCGAGTTCACATTACTCGCCTCGGTGGAGGGCCGATTCCGAGTAATCGTCCGAGTACTCGGCCGAGCAGGCCGAGTTTTGCAACACTGCCAAATAACATATCTTTTACTTTATGTCGATGACATCGTCTTGACTGCATCAAGCACATCTCTTCTTCATCACATCATTGATCTATTATCTAAAGAATTTGCAATGTCAGACCTGGGCCAACTTCACCACTTCCTAGGCATCCAACTGCAACATCAAAATAGTGGTATATTCCTTTCTCAAGCTCAATATGTCAACGATATCTTAACCCGTGCCAACATGCAAAATTGCAAGCCGAGTCAACCCCTATCGACACAGGCTCTAAGCTTAGTGCCACCGCCAGACAACCAATGTCCGAGACCTCTCTCTACCGCAGCCTTGCTGGTGCTCTCCAATACCTCACTATCACATGCCCGAATATAACCTATACGGTCCAACAAGTGTGCCTCTTCATGCATGATCCACGTGAACCACACTTTAATTTTCTCAAGCGCATTCTCAGATATCTCAAAGGAACCACCAACAATGGCCTTCACATTACTCCCTCAAAGTCTACCAAACTGACCGCATATTCAGATGCCGACTGGGGGGTTGCCCTGACTCTCGACGCTCCACTTCTGGATATTGTGTCTTCCTTGGAGATAACCTAGTCTCATGTCCTCTAAACGACAACCCACAATCTCTCTGTCTAGTGCCGAGGCAAAATACAAAGGGGTCGCAAACACCGCAACTGAAACCGCATGGCTTCGCAACCTGCTTCTCGAGCTACACCTTCCATTGCACCAAGCCACGATCATTTGTTGCGACAACATCTCTTCTGTTTATCTCACACACAACCCAATCCAACACCAACGCACAAAACATGTTGAAATCGACATTTACTTTGTTCGAGAAAAAGTTCGTTTGGGTTCTCTTTGCATATCAATAAGATCATCAAAGAATCAGAGAACTATAAGACCATCAATAGAGTGCCGAAGATGGAATAAAAATTAAAAGCCATTTGATGCATGTTTTTGTGCAACTCCCTCTTCTAGGCTTTCAAATTGTTAATTTTCCGATAATTCTTTGTTATTTCCATATGATCAAGTATACTAGAATTAGCAACTTTCGAACAAAACACGACTTTATACCAACAATTGATTCTATTTGTCCACTTCTCGACACAAGTGCTCTAATTAATTAAGTACTTAGTCTGACATGGTTAAGTAATCCCACTTGAAGTCCTCTTCTTGAATTTCTTGTTCTATTTTTGCTTCTATCAACGTTTGTTCATCATGTAAACGATATAATAACCTTTTTTTTTTTTTTAATTGAGCATTCCACCAAGTTCTACAAGTGACACCAGGCCAATACGATGGCTACGTTGCATGAGTCAAGTCCTTACAGTTTACGTTACCACGATCTTAAAGGGACACAATTCACAAGCAAAGAAAAAAAAATGAGCATGGATGTTACAAACTCCACAACTCAAATTCTTAATGTTCTTGTAACATCTCAGAATCATCATCTCCATAACCAATAGGTCAAACCATAAGGCTATAAGGTAATGTGCAAAATTAAACGAAATGTGCAAAATTAAACGAAACCTCATATATTAAAGGTGTGGCATATATGGAAGCCCCAAATATCGTACTTGTCTAAATAACATTAAAACAACTAAAACATTGGTAGGACTAGGAGGTAAATGTTGGCTCGCTACCAAAGATCTTACAATGGGCTCACAGTTTACAATCAAAACGAAGGTGAATTGGGAGGTTAAAATTCCATCATTCAAACTCCTATTTTGCACATGACAAAACCCCACAGCCATCATCCATATATATAACCCACAAAAGCAAAGGTAACCAAAAGAGCGGATTGGTCATAACCTCGAAACAACAAAACCATGTGCTTATATAGAGCCCATGGTTCATATCAAACACCTACATGGAATGGAATGTTACATTGGTAAGGAGCAGTGTTGATCTCTTGTACTCAAAACAACTAATAAATTGTCAAATATATACTCCAACTCCATGATCAGATCAGGTGTATAAAAATATCAAAGATAGAACAAAGATGCCAAACATGCCACCAAAATGCACAGACAACATATCCTTCCCAAACGAGCAATGATGGCATAAACCGAAGTGGGACCAAGATGTGTGACAGAAATGAAATGTTCTGCTGCAGAAGCCAAACCATAAAAGAGCAGACTAGTAACGACTATGTTCATGGACTGAGGGTGGGTTTGGAAAGGAAATTGAGATCCTTGGGATTTGATTTCTGCAAAAACACATAAACTGGTGACAATAAAGCTAAATGGGGATGGAGGCATGATAACAGCTTCTTCCCTAAATGTTCGCTCGTAATAGTTAATCCAGACTTGAGCCAAAGGTTTCATGTGATTAACGATGTGGGCGATAAAATTGAACAAAAACTCTATGACGAAATTGAATGTAATGATGTTGGCTTCTGCAGGTGGCTCCACATGAACAACCATAGCTTCTTCGTCGACCGGATTATTCATGGGTGAAGGCATCATCTCTGCTGATAATATTTTGAAAGAGAAAGGCTTTGGCCTTTGGGTTGTGAAGAACTTATGGGTTCGTTCCAAAATATATTTATAGTACAAATCTACCCAGCTGCTTAGTCACCGACTTTGAATGCAAGTGAATCACCGAACCCAAAACATCAAGAACCAGTCCAACAATCAAACAGTAGCCGGTTGTACATGGACTTTATAGCGATTCATCTTCAAAAAAAGAATAAAAATTTGGTGTGGGTCCAGAATCTGACTTTAAAGCACCCACAGGCCACAGGCCACAACGACGCCGACTCCCCGTGTGTCAACCGCATGTCCATTGTAAAAAAAATAAAAAAAAAACATTTCCTATTTGTCTTTTTTTCATTAATTTTATTGGACCAAATATTATTAATTTAAAATTTTCTCCTACCAAAAGATTTGTTTTTAAATTAACTAATTTTTTAGGAATAGTTTAATATATTGTCGTTTAAAAAAAAATATATAATTATTTTTTTATAAAATATTTTATAAAGTTTTTCTATCTAATTTGCTACTATTTAAATATATGTAATATTTATTAATGTATAAATATTTTAATAAAAACATAAAATAAAATCAATATTTTAGAATACGCCAAAATTAAAATAAATACTATTAAATCTAAACTTCGTTTTTATATTATAGGTTAGGTTTGTGATTGAATCTAGATGGTCATCTAAGAACCGACTTATCCAATTTGGAACTGATCCAATCCAATGTACGTTTGTGATTGGTCGGTTTAAAGTGAATTGGTTTGATTGGTGTTTTCGGCACACTCAATAGGCAGTTTCATGTATAATATGCACGAAGCCAGACAATGCCAATGCAGTGAGAGTTGCTATCAGGTTTTGCTATGGTACTTGAAAAGAACTGATGAGGTTGCCTTTCTTTATCTTTAGAAAGACATACAATGAGAATAACTAAAAGATAATCATAAAGGGGTTGATATTACAACAAAAAATTTAATCTTTACAACAATTTAAAGTTACATTGGTACAAACTATTTTTCTTCTTTTGGGGATGGCAAAAGTTCACTCTCACTCATCCCTGCAAAATGATTTTGATAATCCTGGATCAAATCTGCTCCATGACAAGGTTGTTCACCACATGTATGTATATGGTAGAACAAGCTTGTACTCATGGATCATAGATTGCATGTTCTGGACATCTTTACTGGAATTGAGTCCTTTTTCTTCGACCTAGTCAAGAAGCCATCTAGATTTTAGGAATCTTTATGTTGTGCCATTCTCTTTTCTACATATTTCTTTAATTCCTCATGGGAAAATCACAAAAAGAAAGAGCAACTCTAGGCCACTCTATTAGTGGACTACGATTAGATCCAAGACAAGACAGGGTTCAAAGGAACTGCAGACCAGCTCTACCCATATTCTCCAGCCCTAGATTAAGTTAGCAGCATTTAAACAAAATACAAAAAGCTCTTCAGGTATACAACATCTAAAAGTTCCATGACAAAAAAAAAACCAAGAACATCATCCACACAAATCACAATCCAAGCCATAAGGAAATCTAATTACACATGATCAGGCTAGGTGGAGTTAAATCAAGGAACAAGTATGGAAATATCAAAAACAAAATAAAGATGCCAAACATATCACTATAGTGCACAAACAACCTATCCTTACCAGTCGTACAATGATGGCATAAACCGAACCGGGAAGTAAGGCAGAAATGAAATGCTCTGATGCAGAAGCCAGGCCATATAAGATGAGACAAATAAGGGCTACATTGACGAACCCAGGGTGCGTTTTAAAAGGAAAATCAGATCCCTGCGACTTCATTTCCGCAAAAGCATATAAACTAGTAATTATAAAGCTAATTGGGGATGGGGGTGTTGGCTTTTAACAAGCCTGTAACTTGAAAATGACAATGAAACAGTAACTAAGAAAAACAGAGCACAGGAAGTACTTAAAGCTTGAAGCTTTATTCACTGAATTGAAAGTGAGGGTACTACCTCAACGTATAGGAAACAAACTATTTAAAGGCTAAAAATATGCAAATAACTAGCAACTAACTCCACTAAGCTTAAGACTCGGTACTATAGCCCACATGACTTTTACTTATTCAAATTCTAAAACATGCTAATAACATAATAAACTAAACCAACTTATGACTTCTGAATTATTTCATCATTTTCCCCTTTAATTCAGAAATCATACCTTTTTGACACCAAGAAGATCACAAATTTCTTCAAACTTTACTCTTCCAAGTGGTTTTGTCAAGATATCCGCCTTCTGATCCTTGCTCCTCACATGCTTTACTGTAATTTCTCCATTTTCTACACACTCACGGATGAAGTGAAATCGGATATCTATATGTTTGCTTCTTCCATGAAACACTGGATTTTTCATCAAATCTAATGAGGACTTGTTGTCCACCAACAGCTCAACTGGAGGTACCTTTTGACCAGTTATCTCTCTTACCAATCTTCTTAGCCAGATCCCTTGACAAGCTGCTAGAGTGGCTGCCATGAATTCTGCTTCGCATGATGAGAGTGCCACACACCTTTGCTTCTGTGATGCCCATGTGATCAAGTTATTGTTCACATAGTACGCCATTCCACCTGTACTTTTTCTGTCATTGATGTCATTACCCAAGTCACTATCAGTATACCCATAAAGAGTTACATCTTCTTTCCCTCTTGAGTACTTTAAACCAAAGTCCAAAGTACCCTTCACGTATCTGAGAATACACTTCACAACTTGGAGATGTTGGACCATTGGCTTCTCCATGAAACGACTCACAATACCTACTGCGAAAGAAATATCTGGGCGAGTATGAGTTAGGTACCTTAAGGCTCCTACTATGCTTCGATACTCGGTGGGATTCACCAGTTCTCCTTCTTCCTTCTTTCACAGCTTGAGTTTGTGTTCCATAGGGGTTCTTGAGGAATTACAGTCTTTCATCCGAGTCTTGGCAAACAGATTCTTGGCGTATGCTTCCTATTTCAGAGTAATTCCTCCTTCATATTGGTTGACTTCGATTCCCAAGTAGTATGTTAAGAGTCCAAGATCACTCATCTCAAATTTGATGTTCATATCTCGTTTGAACACCTGCACATCTTTTGAGAAACTTCCTGTTACTAGGAGATCATCTACATATACACCCACAATCAAGATATTCCCTTTTTCTTTCTTGGTGTAGACTGAATACTCATGAGCACATCTTTTAAAACCAAGACTCTTCAAATGTCGATCCAAACAAGCATTCCAAGCTCTAGGCGCTTGCTTAAGGCCGTATAGAGCTTTAGACAACCTGAACACTTTGTGAGCCTCGTCTTTCTTCTGAAAACCTTCAGGCTGAGAAACATAGACCTCTTCCTCTAAGTCACCATTTAGGAACGCCGATTTGACATCCAAGTGATGCACTTTCCACCCGTTTGATCCAGCTAAAGCCAAGATAAGCCTGATTGTCTCGATTCTTGCTACCGGTGCGAAAACCTCTTCAAAATCGACTCCATACCTCTGTACATACCCTTTTGCTACAATACGGGCCTTGTGCTTCACAATCTTTCCATTTGGGTCTCTCTTTAGCTTAAAGACCCACTTTAGTCCGATAGGCTTTCGATTCTTTGGGAGATCAACCAGTTTCCATGTGTTGTTCTTCTCAATTGACGCCAATTCTCTTTCATCGCATGTACCCATTCGATTTTCCTGCTTGCTTCTAGGTACGTTGTAGGTTCTTCATCACTGCTTAGTAATAGAAGATCCTCTGGGGGTAGATGAACTTCTTCAGTATTTTCATAGAGATCGGTGAGCAATCGATATCTTTTAGGGGCTTCATCATCGGTCGAGGTGTCACCAGTGCTTGGTGAGTTGTGTATGATGGGTGAAACTGGCGCCGTCGGTGTATTTGGCTCATTCGGGTCAACAGATGGGCTAATGGGCTGACCTACTTCAGCCCAATCTTCATTTTGTTGAATTGGCCCAATTTGGTTGGGAGTATCAGGGACCCATTCACCTTCACCGTCCCACTCGCCTTCATCTTCATCGAAGCCATCATCAAGGTCGAAGCCTTCAACTGTGAAGCTCATTCCCGGTGTTGATTTTATTTTTGCACTTTCATCCCAGTTCCAAACTCCTTTTTCTTCGAACACAACGTCACGACTTACGTACATTTTTCCATTGTTTGGATCCAATAACCTGTACGCTTTTGATCCTTTCTCAACTCCAAGATGAACCAGTCGAATACTTCTGTTTTCAAGCTTCTTTAAATTACCTTTTGCAACTTTCATATGTGCAACGCATCCAAACACCCTAAGATGATCGATGCGAGGCTTTCTCCCGGTCCACATTTCATAAGGAGTAGAGTTCTTTAAAGCCTTTGTATGGACTCTGTTCAATACATAAACAGAGTATGCCACTGCCTCACCCCACAGAGCATCAGACATCTTCATTGACTTTAGATTCCACCTCACCATCTCTAGTACTATTCTATTCCGTCTCTCCACAACCCCATTTTGCTGTGGAGAGTATGGAGATGTATAGTGTCTTTCAAGCCCAGTTTTCTTGCAATAATTTGTGAAGTCATTCGACAAGAACTCTCCACCACGATCAGTTCTAAGAATCTTGACCTTCTCTCCTGTTTCTGTCTCTACTTTCTCCCTGAACTCTTTAAATACTTGGAAAGCTTCATCTTTTGTCTTCATCAGATAGACCCACGTTACTCTGCTAAAATCATCAACAATTAGCATGAAATACCTATTGCCGGAAGGAGTGGGAGGCGTAACCGGACCACATAAGTCTCCATGTATGAGTTCAAGTTTCTTTTTTGCTCTGAAATTTGTGTGGTGTGGGAATGGGTTTCTTGTCTGTTTTCCTATCAAGCATCCCTCACAGGGTTGTGAGGGAATCTTCACAGTCGGCATTCCTTCGACCATTCTCTTCTCAACCATAAGCTTCATAGAATTGAAGTTAATGTGCCCCATTCTCTTGTGCCATAACCATGATTGGTCATTTATC